AGCTTTTAAAGTGGTATCGGATTTTGGAATGCGTCTTACATGGACTTTTTTAACCAAAGGTGGTTTTTTCGGCTTCCGATAAACGTGTTTAACCACAGATTTGCTTGGAACAAATTGTATTTGTGGCTCACCGGGCACTTGTACAAATTGTACAGCTGGTTGGGATGGCACCTCAACAACCTTAACTACTGGATCGGACTGGATGTACTCAACTAAAGGTGGAGCTGTTGCTTGATTACCCTGTTCATGAAATGTCGGAACAGCCTGGACCGCTTGATGGGTTATGTTTGGACCTGCTTGAGTATATTGATCTTTAAGAACACCCGTGGAATGAGCTTGTACACTTTTATCAATCATTGTGGGTAATAGGTTGGGAACCGCTATTGGTTCAACTTGCACTGCTTCCAATATTGGAGCCGCGACTGGAGCGTTACCCGTATTGTTTAAACGCTGGTACTCAAAAGCGGCCTTGGCCATGAGCTGTTGTGTAATTTCATGACCAATCTCTTGAGCTTTTTTCCAGGCAGTCGGCGCGGGAACACCTTCCCGAGCATGCTTTTGTTTTAAAAATTCGGTTTCGGGGACTAAAACGTACGTCTTCATTTTGCTAGAAAAGTGGAAACTAAAGTACCTAAAACAGGTAGCAAAACGTTGAGAAATCCACCTTTTTGTTGTAATATTTTACGTTTCTTTGATCGGTCTGTACTGCGGTCAGCTAGACGCTTGATTGTTGAAGAATGTTTTCGAGCCCGAGCTAAATCAACTTTGCTAAGGCCGGTGGGTTGCTTAACTAGATTTAAGCAGGCTTCTTCGATTGCGCTTATTTGTTGCTTAGTTGCCAGCTGGAAAAAGCTTCTTCTCTGACGTGGTGTCAGCAGCTTTAACGCTTCAATAAGTCGAAAAATTTCTTCTGGTTTCATTTTTCTACATATATTCGTCTATACTCAAACACGTGCGACTGAAGGCGAACATCGTCTGGAGCTTCGGGTCTAAGATTTATCAGTAAATATCCAAAAGGCTCCTTTATAGCCTTTCGGTAGGCCTCCAGCATATGTGGCATACCTAACTGACGTGCAAGTGTTTTAACTTGCTGAACGTCACGAACTGATTTAAAAATTACCAAGTACTGAGAATTCAAAGCAATGTCACGCATGCTTCTTCCTTGTTTGTATAAATTTTGAGAAATGAAAATTACAGAAACATTTTTGTGATGAACGTCACGAGTAAAAATCGTCGAACACTTTGGCGTTCCAGCAATTTCTTCCATTAAATCATCTAACACTAGCAGACTCGGAACGTCTTTGTCAAAAAAATTTTCATCTTCTAAGATGGGTCTAAGCCCCTGGATAAGTTCAATATTTTTATCAAAACCCTGGAAGGCATTTTGCCACGTACCGTAAGCATATACTATTCTTACTGGTGGTGGATTAAAGCTTTCCGTAAGACTTTGCAAAAGTTTCATTGTAAAAGTCGATTTTCCCGACATCGTTGGCCCAGAAATATAAATGGTGCACGGAGTTTTAAAGCGAAAATCAAAACTCAGTTTTTCCATTTTAAATTTCTCCTGACTTAGTCTGCTAACTATCGAACACTTCACAGTATATTCGATCACAAAAACTCTCAAATGGTGTTTCTGAAATGATTAGATTTCTCGTTTCTTCGACACCGAAGTGGTGTAATTTTCAAGGAGGTTTTTAATTTGTTCAATTGTGCGTTTAATCTGCAACAGTGATCTCGCTCCCAGAATTACACACTTTCCAGTATGGAAAACGTTAACGGTAGTTTTCAATAATGGGAACCGTAGTTTGATGGCTGGAAAAAGCTCAGGTTCATAGAAGAATGCGATACCCGTTGGCTTTTGTTTTAAAATTTGGCTATACAGCTTGTTCAAATTTATTATTTCACTGTAGGCGTACGTACAGACTATATTTGCCACAAAGCGCTCCTTAATAGTAACGTCGATACAATTTGCAATCAACATTCGCAAATACTGTTCTAACAGCCCATTCGATTCTTCAACGGACTTACCACCTATTACGATTGCCTTGCCATTTTGGAAAATCTGGCAGAATGTATGTGACTGCCCTATTAGTCTGATGTTGACTGCGTTAAAATTTTTCACCTTCGTAGCATGTTTCCCGAAAACTTCTAGGACTTGTTGAAGATCAACTTCCTCGTTGAACTGCACCGCCAGAATAACGTTGTGGATTTCCATGACTGAACGCATTACTTGCAACAGTGTCAGCAAGAAGGCTTTATATACTTCACTGCTGAGACTGTCGCAAATAACGGCGTTTTTCAGCCTTTTTTTTCGCATAACAAGGGAGTTAACACGTAATAAACAAGAATACCAACAACAACAACAATTTTAAAATGTTAAAAACGAAAAGCGCAGTTAAACAATAAGGGCTTGCGCTTTAAAACTATCGTCCAGGATTCGGGCCACATCAAGGAATCCCATGTATGGCAGTTGAACAGAGCGCCCTGGTTGAGAAAACCTGATCGTACGCCCGTACTTCTCGTGCACCTTCAGAGTCAACTCCAGGCAGGCGGGGCCATCGAATTTCATTTTCTCCTGTTTGCCTTCGGATGCTGCGTGATCCAGTGTGTCTTTCAGATGTCCATTCTTCAAGATCTTCAGTAGTTCGGTAATTTCATTGTATCCGAATCGGATCCCTTTATTCCATGCTTTACGCAAGCCCTCAGCATCCGCATTCGCTTCGAACACAAGAAATGCCCGTACTTCTTTAGCATTCCAGAACAGACTTACCACACTATTGACTTTGTATACAGTGTAGCCGTCATGATCGCCAACAACATCCAAAATACGTGCGAAATCCATTTTTGCTCTCGTGATATTATGATAATAGAACTTGCTCTCAACTTTTTGCAGAATGATTTGGAAAAGCCAAGCCGCGTCGGTTTTATACTCGCGGATTGTTTCCAAAGAAGCCAAAGTCTCACCCTATTGGGTGTAAATTCTCGCATAACCCCGCCTTTTTCACACATACGTCACTGGCAAACTGGAAAAAGTTTACTATGTCGATGATTGGTCGGAAAATCGAAAAAAACTACACCCTCATACACTGCGTAACCATACTGATTGGTCAAACAGCCCGTGACGTACCTCGGAAATTCAAAAAATTATTTGGAAATGAGCGTTGTGATTGGTCCAAAATTAAACTGGGGGGCTAACTGTTTTTTTCTGATTATATTTAAGAGCTGGAGTTGCGTTACACAATTATCATTTGCAGAGAAAATGGAGAAAGATCAGTTTCGCGGTTGCTTAGTCGGCGGCCTACTCGGGGAATGCTTGTGCGCTCCTTTGAAGGCATACAATGGTATTGTCCATAAGGTAGCGCAAATGTTTGTTGATACTCGAGATTACCGCTCTCATCGTGAAAAAACTGTATTAACAAACGCGCTTGGTAACGCATTGTTAAATGACGGTGGTTATGATACAGCGAGTGCCGCTCGTGCATGCGTTAACGCATATTACAATGCACACCCCGTCATACGTTCGGCTTTTGGAGAGCTAAAAGATATAATACATCACTGGAAGTGGAGCAATTATGAATCCCTTGACACATTGCCGAATAAAATCGTACCACGTGTATACCAAAAAGGATATGGTCCTGCTGCGTGGATTTCAGCGTATCCACTATACTTCAAACATCAGACAGAAATAATGATCAGCAACGTACGTAACGTCGCCGAACTTACACATCCTACGATGGAAGCTTACGGGGCATCTGAGCTTCAAGCCTACGCTATTGCCGTAGCATTGCAATATCCCAACTTTACTCCCGCACAGTTTCTGGACATGCTAATCACTCTGTGTGACTCAGGCGTTAGCCTACAGCTGTATCAATCAAAATTAGTGCACATAAAAACTCTACTGTCTCAAGAGACAAGTGTTGTGGTGAAAGCCCTTGGCAATGATTCCTCGGGACTGCAAGCTGTGCCTATGGCTATTTACTGTGTGATCAAAGGAGCCGATCTATCGCCTAAAAATGCTTTTGAAGCAACCATGGCACTTACACTACGTGTTGGTGGATGTACGGACGGAATCGCAACCCTGGCGGGCGCTATTGCCGGAGCTTGGCACGGTCTCAAAAGCATACCATCGGCGTGGTTTGAACTGTGTGACGGGTATAAGAACAGTATTACGCTAGCCGACAAACTTGCCGAACACGCCAGCAACACCCTAACCGATCGCGAAATTGATGATTTCGGCAACTACAGCACTTTAGGATCGCGTTTGGAGTCGTTCAAAGGTTGGCCACATCTCAAACCCTCTCCCATGGAATTAGCTGGAAATGGATTTTTTCATTTTGGTTCACTAGACTGTGTTCAATGTTATTACTGCGAATGTGAACTTAGAAATTTTGAGCCTCTCTCTGATCCGCGTTGGGATCACTTATGTAAGAAGCGCAACTGTCCGGCTACCAATGTTCCTGATAATTTATTTTTTCACTTGTAAATATCATGAATAAATCTGCTATCATGTTCATTCATGTTCATACAAAAAAAAAAGAGGGTGGGGAAAAATAAACAAAAGAAAGGGGAATTCAGTTCGGCTCCAAACCGGTTCAAATCGGCTCCAAACCGGTTCAATCGGCTCCAAACCGGTTCGACTGAAAACCGGACCGAAACCGAGCCGAACCGGACCGAAACCGAGTTGACGGTAGACTAGCGGCATATCTTCTTACTACGAACACTTTTTCTATACTTCTATGCAGTAGCAGAAACGTGTGGCGACGTCTTGTGGGTTTAAAGCATGATTTATGACCATCTTAACAGCTGATCGTCTGCGGTAGAAATTAACAAGTTATATGCTAGTGTAAATGCATCGCGTCCGATATCAAATTACCAGTAATGGTTGTACGCGACACTAATTACCAACAAATACTGATAAGTTATTGGCAAATATTGCAGAGTCAAAGTACAAAATTAAAAATCCCTATCGTAATCAACATTTTTCGCATCGCATCCAAGTGCCGAACACACAACGAGCCTAATGTATTCATAGGTTCGCATAATTATTTACAAATTTGCTCTTAATCACGCTCCATACTATTTATATACTCGTAGAATCCGATTGCACATTGGTTTACTGTATCCGACATAGTCACATATTTTAACGGTTTAACAAAAGTTGTATTTGTTCTCAACTGCTCGGTATGTTACAATTTCTGTCTCCCACCACAGCCATTCTTGGCTTAGTCTTGGTCTTCGTAGTATGGTTCTTCACGCCGAAGAAACCAGCCAAACTTCCGCCTGGACCACCATGTAAGTAGTAATGGCGACATTGTGTTATGCATGGTTGCGCATTTGGCCAGTCGACCATATCCCAAGGTCATCGTAGGGGGTTAAACGTTGTTTGTGTTTTCTTAATTTTTCCAGTGCCGTATGTTTGTTTGCCATATGCATAGGGAAAAATAAATATGTCCAAATTAAGTTGCATGTCATTCCTGCGTTAAAGTTGGTTAATCAATGCCTGCATGGTTTTCTAGGTAAACCAATTATCGGCAATTTAGACCGCATTAAGGGTGAAGGAAACGCTTTGCTGGAGCATCTTACCAACCTAACCGGGCAATATGGAGATAACGGATTGTGCACGCTGTACTTTGGACACCGCGCGAATGTGTTTGTCAATAATTACGAGATCATCAAGCAAATGCTGAATGACGACAAGTATGCTGGCCGACCGGAAGGGATGTTCGATATCATATTCAAGCGTAAAGGTCAGACTCATCTTCGGATGCCTTCATATTAATAAAATTTCGGTATCGAACTTCTTTCTTCTTTCACCACATAAATGTTTATTCGTCAATAGTGTTCGGTAATTTATGACATTACATTCGCGCAGTTTGCGAAATTACGGATGCCATACAAAAAAATTTACTATTGATTCTGACACTTTATGTTTCGGTTGACGATATTTATATTGTTTCTTAAGATATTTGCGTAGAACACCTTTATTTGTATTTGCTTAACTGAGTTTTACTTTCGTTTTATTTTTTTTAGCTTTTTTAGGTTGAATATTTTAGCTATAATCCCGTACATAAAATATGCGAATACGTTATCATAATAGTTTTTACATTGCAATTATTTTCCAGGGTTGCTGTTTACGGATGGTGAGCTGTGGAAAGAACAACGGCGTTTCGCTCTCTCAACGCTCCGCGATTTCGGTCTTGGGAAAACCTGGCTGCAGGATTTAATTCTCGATGAAGCAAGCGAACTAATCGGCGATTTGGCAGCTGTTGATGGGCAGCCCATCAATCCCACCAATTACTTGACGCCCAGTGTGTCCAACGTCATTTGCGCCATATCCTACGGACAGCGCTTCAGCCACACCGACCAGCGCTTCCGGAAGTTGGCCAACCTGGTCGGCGAGAATGTTAAACTGACCGCTCGATTACGGCTAGTACAGATTTTCCCATTTTTGCGCCATATTCCATTTAGCGGCTGGCAGGAAGCCTTCGTGGCTTTGACCACCAATATGCGTCAGGAAGTGGCATTCTTCCGTGAACTGATTCAGGATCATAAAGCACATTTGGAAGGAGAATTGCGGGATTATATTCATGCGTACCTGATTGAAATGGACAAACAGAAAACGAATCCGCTGAGCACCTTTACCGGTACGCTTCTACTTTTTAATATTTTATTTGTTCAGGAAATCTTCGCTCCAAATCAGCCAGGTGTCAATATAAGTGCGAATACAATGAAATTCCGATATTTATTATTGTGTAAAATATTGTGGGATTTTGGGCGCACGGGTTTGATTTTCGCTTTTCATTGTGGGAATGCCTTATATAACAAGTGTATCGTATTTTCTTCCATGCAGAAGACCAACTAGAAATGGCAATGCTGAATTTATTTGGGGCCGGTACGGAAACCACCTCGACAACAATGACATGGGCGATTATTTACCTATTAGAAAATCCAGATATTTATAAAAAACTTCAGGCTGAGGTCGACGAAGTTTTGCCGGCTGGACAGTATCCCACTTTGGATTTACGCGGTATGATGCTATACATATTCGACCCAAATTTTTAACATTACGTTAAGTTAAAAACTAAACCTTGACGCAGAGAAATATATGTATATATATAATTTAAAAGTGTGCCACACTATTTTAGATCGACTACCATATATGCAGGCCGTGATCCAGGAAGTACAAAGAATGGCCAATTTAGTCCCGTTTGCCATCCGTTCACCGACGGAAGATGTCAAGATTCACGGCTATGAAATTCCCGCCGGCACCATCATCACGCCTAATCTGTACGCGGTACACATGGATCCTCAGTATTTTCCGGAACCCCAGCGATTCAATCCGGAGCGATTTCTGGATAAGGAAGGCAATTTAAAACCGAAAGTCGAAGGGTTTCTGCCGTTTTCTATTGGTAAGGGCGCCTGTGATAGTTTTGAATTTACTTCATGATACGAGAATCTTATGAACGTGAACCTGTCGGCGTCCTGTCGACGATATACACGCATTTATACGTCGTGGCCAACACGAGCAAAAATAACATTCAAGCACCTGAACTTAGTGCAGTGGTATTGTATAACAGACAAACTCGAATTTAGCGCAGAAGGTTACTAAATTGCTGCATATGAATTTGCGAGAGCTGTAACACTGCTTGGCTAATAACTTTAAATATTTGCTTTTTATATTATTTCTGTATTTCCAGTTCATTGTATTTTGTACACGCCAACTGTAATATAGCCCGCGCAAAAACGAGTTCTTCAGGGTGACCTTCCATTCACGCTAGAATTTGTTCATCCTAATTATGTCTTGGGTACCACGCCGTAAGAAAATTGTCATTTGTCAGAAGATAAAGCGTGTAACCTAGCATTATTCGTTTAGGTAAACGCTTTTGCCTGGGAGAGTCGCTGGCCAAAATGGAATTGTTTATTTTCTTTGCCAGTCTGCTGAGCCATTTTACCTTCGAACGCGCATCGGGACGTTCTTTCAGCAGTAAGAAATCGGTCTACGGAAATGTGGTCAATTCTCCGGAGTACTTTGAAATAATTTTTGAGAAGCGCCAATATTAACTGTTTTTGGGACCCGAAGATTGGCATGTATTTAACTCGAGAGCACGTAGCTTCACGGCAGCATATTTGGATTGCGCAGCATGTATTCCACTTTTCACGCGATAATAATATAACATTCCAAGCAAAAACAAACTGCAACAATGAATTATGTTGAATGAAATTATTGGCACACTATTTACTGGCTCATACTGGCACACAAATTAGTGTTACACTACAGTATTATGGTCATTTCCAATACTGGTTTTCTGAAATTATGTTCGTTCTTGTGCAGATACTGGAGCAGTCAAAGAAAAAATGATTTGTGCGATTAAACTTTAACTACTGCTTTACAAAGTGCGATCTACGTGCTGTATCGTTAGTATAAAGGGAACATTGACATGAAGCCATTCATTCCACCATGATATTCCAAAAATCTATTGTGCTGTTACTAGTATACTTATTAATAGACACGGGTGGCTACAACTAAACGTTTGAATGCATTAAATTTTATGAAGATTTTCTACTCTAGTTGAGGACTGGAGGTTCACACTAGAAGGGCACAGAATTTCTTTCTTCATATAACGAGAGAACGCTTTATGTACAACGGGAAATTTATTCCACACAAAAAAAACTGGTTTTTATTTCTTCGTTAGTCGTTGTTATAGCTCATTACAACAACATCATTTTATTCTGATTTTGGTCTAAAGGATTGTTTTATTAGTGCTAGTATACGTTAGGTGGAGTATTAGCGTTAGAGTAGCAGCAGTACTGCACTTTTGGCATACAGTATTTTTGATGTTTTGTTATGCACGACAATAAAACCTAATATCTTTGAAAACAACATACATAATGCATAAATGGATTAAAATAGAATCTAACCTGTATGAAAAATTGCTTAGAATAAGTCGCGCCATAGATTGTTTTAAATTATTTGCCAATTTCACCAGCAGTACTAGAACTGCTACGTAAACTTTCTCGATAACTGGCAAGATGTTGTCATGTTTCCCAATTCACCAATAATATTTTCTTCTCTACTGGTTTAAAATCCTCCCGCAAGCGTCGGTCTTCGGTGGCAATGGTACCGCCACCCGAACCTGCGGTGCATTGTTCCAGTTTCCCGGGAATCGATGACCCGACGACATGTTGCACTGCATACTCAGGGGTGTTTCAGCATACAGGTCACGCAGTACGGAGGCTGTCAATGGCGTCCAGCGAATGGAATGGTAGTTTTCATTCACCGACTTCTCTGGCGCGGTATCGTCGTCATCCAGCGTGCGCATATGTTCAAAGAAGGTCATCAGCGCGTCGGTGTCGATGGAGCTTTTGCACACTTCCAGGTTGGTACGGGGATAGTAGTGGATGTAGTTGACGCACATCTCGTCCGAGATGGCGTAGCCGCCTAATGTTGCGTTACTACGGTCGAGTGTCCGGAATTCGCAAGTTGTTAGCAGCTCATCTCCCTAAACATAAAAACCGTGTAATATGTCATCAGACTTGCCACATTGAATTCGAAGTACTTAACAAATTTTCGTGCTTCTCAAAAACAGAAATACGCTACACGATAACATAAATAAATTTGTTTTGATCCTGCTGTTTGCATTCCATAGTTCCCTAACAAATAAATACTGCGAGTATCGTAGCTCATTGGCACTGCTTATGAAAACCGATTCTTCGTTTTGGGGTAATTAGTACTGCGAAAATGTTGTGACATAATTTGGTAAATGTTTTAAGTTCACAAACCGTCCCTTTTTCAGCGGCATTAAAGGACTACGTACGTTGATTGCCTAGCATAATCGTGGAGTACTTCTAAACATTTCGCGACAAGTTTTCACTAATGCTCAAAACGTTACAGTCTTACAGGCAAAATAACCACTGGTTTTTTGAGCTTCCTAATTTCTTGAAACATGGTGTTATAGTGATTGTCGCGATCCAATTCCGGCAGTTCAACACCGTCGCGAAAGTGTCGCGTCCACACCCGCATGCCGGTAAGATGCGTATGTAGCTGTGACGCGAAAACGTTTATACCGTCCGGCGGAACCCCCTGCGTTATTCAAAGCTAGCGTTACGGCAAAGAGCATAATGTTTGATTTTAATTCTTGCATATACTCAGCGATATAGATACGCAGATCTGTAAACACGTTTACCTTTTCTGTGCATCCAGCAATGCAGTTCCCGCTCAACTGGAAGTGATCCATCCTCGGAGGAATGGCCATTTTGGGGGTGTACTCCAATCCCAGTTCGATGCATCCGGCATCGAAAGGTCGCAGTTGTGTGGTATAGTAAAAGCGTATCCCCGAGGAATCTATCCGCCCGGCTGTCTCTTCGGGGTTATTGTAATGCATCTCGATACGGACGTAGGGAGAGAATTCCCGGCCGCCGATCGGATAACCGGCTTCCGGTGGATACCGCAACGGTGGCGCCCCCATGGCCCACGCCCCGATGACGCGCTTGCAGTAATCCATGTCTTTAGGCGCCGAACCGTCATCGCAGTCACCCTCCCATTCGCTGATGTGGATGCCGGTTGGGATTTCGCAGTGGAAAACTTCGATATGGTGGACCAAGTCTTCGTTACCTTCTTGAATGGCCGATTCATACTGCCGAAATTGATAGAAATGTATGACAGCTACTCTTACTTACAAAATGGAGCTAAAAATTGGTAAATAGTATTTTGAATAACATGTACGAATATTAGAAATAAAATATTAATAATAGTGGTAATTATAATTTATACGAGTACTATACAGAAAATTATAATAGTACTAATACATAAAAATATAATGTGCGTAGGTAAAAACAGATGTATCTGTACTCGTACACTATCAAACAAATGCAGTTTCTTGCACATGAGATGACACTATTCGCGCTACAGAAGCAAAATGATACAGAATACAGCGAATATCTTGGAGAACTGGTATGCACCGGGCGGTTGAAATTCGCTTTACGATTATGCTTTTGGTGACTTAAAATATATACGTTATCAGTTTAAAACCGGAATTTGTTATACTTCGATATCCATTTTTGTTTTAGAAAACTTAACGCTGGTCCACTACTAGCACTATCCAAGTTGACATGAAATTGTGCTATTGTTTAGTCTGAGCTCTACCTGAATAATGTGATGCTTGGTGTTGAGATGTGGGAGCTTTTTAATGACGCACCAGTACGTTGTCTCCCGTGCCGGTACCTTCACGCGATCGGACAATACTTCCATGATTTGTACATCACGCATGCCGGCAATATCCGTTTCATCATCGGCCGGAGCAGGATACGGCGGAAACATGCTCATACGCAGCATACTTTTGTACAACTTCTTTTTATTATCCTTAATGTTCAGTCCGTCCACCGACCGGATGTGCCCGGGTCCAATTAGAGCGAGTAAGTGCGTCGTACCTTCCTGCATAACCAGATACAGCTACATGTCCGTTGGCTGATTTCCACAAGTCGAATAACAGAAATATGCGGCGAAACTTACGTAAAAAGCATTTCGCAGATTGAATGGTCTATTCGCATATGAAGTTCATAAAAACAAATATATGATTCATATGGAGAAAATATCACCAAAATTAGGTTAAGTGATGAGCACAGGCGCAATCGAAACCTATCTATGTACCTGTATTCATCGAACCATGTTTTTGTAAACAATACACCAAAACTGACACGCAAAACAAATAACTGCACAATAAAATCAATACAGCAATAAACAAACCCGGTTGGATAATCGCTTAAGCTGTAGTGCCACATGAAAACGTTTCACTTGTTAACACGGCGTAGTACAGTGGATATAGGTATCGAACAACTCTGTCCTAACGTAAAGCGAATAACATTACTAATATTTAATTTTTCCTAACCCTGGAACGCGCAAAAATTTCGGTTGTCATCAGACACCAGCTCACCTCGTATTGATAATCGTTTTTATCGCAGGATGTTCTTGGGCGAACGAACCTCCATACTGTCTCGTACTGGGTTTGGTTGACCGACTGCAGTTGGCAGTCTTGTTGCTGGTCAACACGCATAATTTCCTTACTATCGGTGTACGTATCCGTCACATGTTGTCGTCCCCACAAATCCGTCCACAGTACACAAAAATCAGCGGATGCAAAGTCACCATAGTCCGATGCACCTACCGCCATCCATGACCGCGGTGTGACACGTGCCCGTACTTCAAAGGCGATTATAGCGTCATTATAATTCCAGGATAATGTTAAACGGTGTTTTTCGATTTCCACGGAAAACGGCAGTGCCGAAACTTTTCCCAGTAGAAGGAAAAGCATCAATATAAAAATCATGTTTAATTATTAGCGTGTGTAATAGAATGTACCGTGTTCGGCGAACGAATTAAAATTGGTTACTGGTACAAGAATGTGTACAATTACTGCACAGTCTAACTGTACACACGACCGAATAAGGGCCCACGTACAATTATAATTGCGTGACCTTTTATTGAACGATAGCCGATATGAATGAGCCAACGCGATATTGTTCACATTTTTTATACATATACGTTGATCCCTTTTTCTTTCCGGTTTGGCGTTTGATTGTTAACGACTGTCAGACGCATCTGTCTGTCTGCGCTCTTTGTATGTGCGGATGACGCGCGCTATTTTTACGTGTTGGTCTAACGAGTTGGCTATTTTACTGCGGGTCCATATATCAATTATGGATAAGAATGTTCAAGTGTTGTATACAATTAAAAAGCGTTATGATGAGATGGGACTTGAAAGCGGTCTCATACGGGACAAAATGGATGTATCAATTTTCAAAGGTTATGACTGTCGAAAGGCTGTTAGATGCCGTCACTTCCAGGCCGATATTGGAGCGAAATATGTCAGCACGTTCGAATCCGTGATATGTACCGTAGATGCGCTCATTTTACACTTTACTGTATCGTAAAATCTATTTATATGACTTCAAGCCTACTGTTCACTGGAATTCCATGACGCAGTCACAAAAAAAATCCTAAAATAAATAATTCTTCAGTTTACAGAAGGTGCAACTAATTATAATGCGGGATTACGGTATCTAGTTTCAGCCGAATTTTATTTATTCGTTTTGAATTTGGAAATGTAACCTAATTAAGCTTACTTACTCGCGGTAACAGCAGTAACATTGTCGGCGCGTATACTAGATGATGTCAGCGCGTATACTATACGCGTCGGCGCGTGTACTAGATGATGTGTACGTGTCGGTGAGCACTGGCTAATTTCATCAACGACGAACCTCTGCAGATTCATAATTTAGTCGTAAATTTCCTATTAATAGTTAAAAATGGTACTGACCTACAGTATCTGTACGCGCTATGCAGTTATGCAAATTATGCCGCACCTCAGAATGTAACAATCTTGGTTATAAAACGGCTTAAAAGCCTATCTGCTGCTGTAGATGCAATTAATTCTGCGTAAAATCCGTGCGATTATAATTTTCGTAACAGCAGAAGTAATTTGTGGTATTAGAACTGTCGCGTATATGTAAGAATATGGGTAAATTATTTGATAGTTTCTGCAGTTTTGCTAAAGTAGATGTGGACATGTGGCTGTGATTCGGTTTTACCAATAAAACCAAACAGTTTTCTATTTTTGTTACCCTAAAGTTTGCGGTTTGCTAATTTCCTGCTGTTACACGTGTACTTTGGATAAGTATGCTTACAAATCCAAAGTTTTACTTGGAAATTAAAGCTCCCGATCTCATTATGCATGACGGCCATTTGCTGGATTTTTATTTAGGATGATGGCTATTGCGTTAAATATTTTCAACGTTGAGTTAACGCGTTGTCCATACACTGATTATCTAATTAAAACCACATAGGACTTTTTGCCGGCATTATCCCAGTGTGCTGTTTCCGCAAATAGAACCCCGTTCCAGAAAATTCGTTGCATTTATTTAGCCGACACGCATATTAAAATCCTATCACTTCACAGCGGGACTTAAATAGGAACATTGCATATAATGTCTATCAAAAGCACGGTGTGCATAAAGTACAGATATTGTGCAGAATTGTACAAACGAAATTGGCAAACGTTATTTGTGTGCAGAGTTTTAGCGAGAAAATAAATTAGGCAATAAAAATAATTCTGTGCAGGTGTATTTTCAATCAACTGAGGCCAACGGGAAATGAGTTTTCACAGTTTATGTCCAGATCAATTTCCTTTGTCTTAGTTTAGCTGCGCGTAGGAACAGTCGGAAAAACGGTTTGAATGACACACTCAGTTCATTTCCTTCCTTTGGTTTGCAGGCCGATTATTCGGCTGACCGGCGCCTCCGTCCGGGACCTGTAAATACATGGCTCGTTAAATTCATTTCTACTTGACCTTAATTTTGCATTAATTTTATTGGATTTTTCTCATAAATATTTTTGTACCTGACATTCTATTTAATTTTGCATTTGCAAATTTAAAAACGTGGTCGTTGGAGAATCAGTACCAAAATATTGAACTGATATTTCGCAAAAATTAGAATCTTCTTCTACGTTAATACAGATTAAGATAATACAGATACTTCAAAAATAATTAATTGCGGCATATACGACAAAGAGTGTGCGGCTTTGGATTACGTCTTTTCTTATCTAACAGAAGCCAAAGGTCACGTTAATTTGTGGAAGTCGTAAAGAATTAGAAGATCGCTGATTAAAAGTGCTTTCTCGACCGTGCTTCGCTTCATTGCTCCTCTCTCACTCTTCCCGGTGGCGTTGTGACCGGCACGAGTTGATCTCATGACTTAATCGGACCGGATCAGGCGAATGTGCACACACCTGCCTTTTCGGAAAGGTTTATCCCAGTTAGGACTTCATCAATTAATCACTAACTTCCATAACGCGTAATATGCGGGCTACCGAACGCGCCTACGTACAGAGCGTGGTAACGTGAGCCCCACTAGGAATCAGACGCGCGGGAAATGGAAAACAGAAATATTTATCGCCAGCAGCCCATATGTTTCTCCGTAAAAAATTTGCCGAACCCTTTGCGGATGAGTGAACCGTGTCTCAGTAATTTGGCTTTCCATTATCTCATTATAGCCATATTTTTTATGCATTTTTACCTTTCATTATGGTAGGATATTGCTCACTATATTTTTTAAAAAAATGTTGGAAAAGAAGAGAAAAAATAATGGCGCTCGAAATCGCTAGCTTCAAATCATTTTATGTCGTCCTTTACTGACTAAAAAATGTTATTGAGCTAGCAAAGCCTGGATTGCATTATAGACTAATATAATCTGCTTTTACCTGATGGGCTTTCCGTGTCCAGGAGAGCGGCACCGTAACTGGCCAATCGTGCACCGGAATGTCCGCGCCCAAATCCCATATCCACCTTGGGCAAGCGGGCAACATTCCGCTTCACACCATATGGATAGTCTTCAAGGGAAAAGCGTTTCTCCGCAGACCTGCAAATAAATTTCTTAGTGCAAATGTTGTTTAGGATCTCAATAAATATTTAACTATACAAAATTAGCTGTAATGTTGGTACACTTTTACAACTTTGAATTATTCAGCTGGTTGCGCCCTAAAGTAGTTGTATTTGTACAATTTTTTTATTCTTCTGTTATATTTTACCAACATATTAATACGTAATAAATATACTCATTGTTCAGTTAAGTATTAGGATGTAGTACGTAATTATTATGTAACAACAGAACGTATTAATTAATTATGACGTTAATTTACTGCGTGCATTTAAGCAGACATTTTTCACAATTGAAACAGCGTAATGAAGTACATAATATAAGTTTTGACAAGAAAACATATTCTCTCGGCATACGATTGACGTAGTACTAGTGTAATGTAACCCATTTTCTTTTAATTTGTGCCCATTAAACACTAAAATAATCGACGTATACGATGGCGTTGGCAAAGTAAAAAGTAATAAAATAACAATGAAGGCCCCTCCTCCGATCATAAGACGGTCTAATGAAGTACTTAGCAGCTGCTAGGAGTGTCGATGTGCCGGGTCTCCGCACGTTCCCTTTGTTAATGGGATATTCAACCCACTTATATCAACAGACGCCAGTACTCCCTGCTCATTACTTTCTCACAATATTTGCTTTTCTTTTAGGACGAAAGGCAGTAGGAATCGTGACAAGAAACCGTAAAATGTCTGACCGGAAGCGGTACTTCTGAGAATGTTTTTCATACTCGAGCATCAGCTTAGTTTTTTAATATTATTTTCAAAACAACGTTTGTGTGCTTTTGTTGACAACGAAGTTAGACAACAAAGTCTGGGGTTCGGTGGCCACGTTGTGATGCTTTATAGTACTAACATAGCAACTCCGGTTTTCATTACAGACAGGATGATATTATAGTGTTGTTAAAAACATATAAACCGCCACAACTACACTACTACCGGTGTAATAGGTAGATATGATCCATTTCACAAATGCAATTTGTTTTGTCAATAAATTACGGTAAATTCCCGCTACCGCTCCGTCGCCGACGCAAAAGAGTGCAGAAAATAGTGTAATAATATTTGCACGCCGTATTCAATGTACACCTTCGCTCGTGCACGCACTAGTATCCCGTACGGATGCAAAAATATTATTAGTAGCTGCGCGGTAAAAATGTGTCATACTCAGACTATTTCGGAAGTCTGAATACCGGCGTCTCACGTGCAACATCCGCCCAGCGTACGCATGTGTGCGCATTGCGGTTGTGTGTTTATGTTATGACTGCGCAAATCTAATTGAGCGTTACGGCGTAGAAAACGCGCGGTTTGTTGTTTATGATGAGGTGAGCATAATAAACTAAATTATCGACTGGCTGATGCAATCATCACCAATAATTTTATCAAAATTTCTTTACGGATATTTTTCCCCAGGCAGGCAGGCTACTTCATTGAACGGAAATAAGGTTGCGTGAAGAACCGGAATTAGTATAATACAGTGTTTACTTTGGTAAAGATAAGCAGTATTTTTGTGATTGTAGAATGCATGAATGTTGCAAAATTATTAACGATATTTGCATTACTTGATAAAGACTCGCATAACGGCTATTACGAAATGATAAAGACGGCAGTTATTAATTAAGATATTATTTTTTAACATTATAATTATTCATTAAATAAAATATTTCACTGAGTACTGGTTTGATTTACGTAAGCAAGGCAATAACAATACGGTTTATTCAGTAAGCCAACGGTTACATTGTGCTGATTAACTAATTAATGATTCTTCGATTGCGTTATTTGGAAACGTATTTATGGTGGCTTTTAATGCTTACAGTGTATCAGCTGGACCATTGTCGTAACCCAGATTCCGCAAATCGCCGGTTAGATCCAAATCTCCGTCGGCAAGAGCTGGCGATTTGTCAAATAGCCTATAAAGCAATCGTGTTGGTGATTCCCACAAATCAACACCCAGTGTCAATCGGAAGTACAGAGTGTAATGCTTTATACGGTTCAAGGTCGATGACTGAATGCATGTAATTACCGACGCTCAATGTAATTTCGTTCTCGCAAAATTGGCGCCGACTTAATCACCAGTTTCCTCACACTTTAAATAGGAATAAATAAAAGTGCACACATGGAATATTTTGAGAAATGCAAAGGCCACAAAAGGGCTAAACTGTACCTGTAATATCCGAAAGGAACGCCGGCGACGTGGGTCAGGGCAACACAGAGCATACCAAACGATAGAAAGCATAGCACGCTGGTCGACTGCATTATCTTGGTAATGGGATAAAGAAATTACAACGTAGAACAAAATCCTTGGACGGACGGTAAATTATTAACCGGTAGGGTCAACGTGCGCCGACAGTTGTGACAAAGTAGTAGTCGTAGTGGTGGATAGTAGCTCCGACGTGTGAGAGAGACGTGGAGCGGCTGTCAAAAAACTGATGGCTGGCAAAAGGTCAATGAAGGCTGAAGTGCCTGCTTGAAGGTTGCCGCACGGTTTATATTGTAAACTTGCTGTGGTCTGCGGGCATTGCATCAGCACGGTGGTTGCGCTTACGCGGCTGATCGTATTGATCCGATTGGCCGGTTTTGGGGTGTGTGTGCAGCCGCAGACGGCGGAAAACGTACGGCTGTGGTAAAAACGCAATTATCACCTGACACCAGCACAATACAACACGCCTAGAAAAATATAACGAACGGGGCCAAGACCGCACGTCAAGACTTTCATAACTTATGCGATATTATATTTCATGACAGTTGTAATGTACATACATAAATAAATACATAAACATAAACATCTAAACAGACATAGTGCATACGTTACTGACACAACAAAACGAAAGACGAATTACAAGCAAAACTTTACAATTAAAGCATGTACGTAACGAATTCGCACAAACTAATGGCAAGTTTGAAATTTTTAAACAGATTGGTTACCGTATGGTTTATCGTAGTATTATTTAAAAATATTGTATCGCAACGTTGTTGGTTTGTGCATTTTTAACTGGAAGGACGAATGGTGAATTAATCGCAACTCACTGACAGATTAATCTCGATGGACTCGACCCGCCCGACTTTTACTTTGAATCGCAACACTTTAAGGCTGCAACCGAAAAACGTTGTGCTGTGTATTACATATCGACTATTCTTAATACTGTGTTATTGAATGGTTATTACAATAATTAATTATTATATTATGACAATAATTAATATATGTATATGTAAATAATAAAAGAGCTGGGCACGAGTTCACTGGAATCAATATTGTTACTGTCGTTTTAATTTTATATGAAAAATTTTAACAACAAGAAGCAAGACCGATAACGCCATTTGCAATACGTGCTTTACTTTTGATGACAATAATTAATATAATTTGTGGCACATATCTTCGCATGGCATACTTTTTTAGTTATATTGTGCGTTCTCGTAAATCGTGCCAGAGCACGGCATTCTGTCCAATAAGCTATGATATAAAGGTACATAATTCTATGTTCTACATATGGTGCACCATGGTCAAATTGCGTCATGTAGGCCAGTTAAGCCATTAAAAAGTAGTCACGTTAAACCATTAACCACCCAACTTTCGGCCACATTTAGCATAATCACATCCAAATCGCATCCCGCGTGAACACTTTCCGCACTCAGCGAAAAGTACCATTTTTCCGCTGAACAGGCGGTCAGCAAATCCCTGGGCGCATTGACGACACGATTGGATTATCGCAGTCAGATTGTAAAATGTCGGTCGTCAGTGCTTTTTTTGTAGTCGCTCCCCTAGTTTCTTTTTCAACCTTTTAGCTGTTGCTGACTAATGGCCGTTGTAAGTTGTAACGTTTACGTTATGGCGTGTACCATAAAGTATAACATGCGATTTTAGAGATGATTTTGCTGTGCAAATATTTTGTGTTTAAGCGGTACAGTAATCAAAACACGCGACAGACATTATTGTGTTACGTAAATGTCTCCAGAGCTCTGTACATGTGCGTGGGGATTGATAATCTTGAAAAATAAACTGCTGGTAATCTTCTTTATATTCTTTGGTAATGTCTCAAATAACTTTTGATTAGATTACCTGACGCCACAATGGAACAACACACCCAGTTTTATGTTGTACATAAAGCTTGCTCAGTGTACTCATATGTCGTGAACCTAGAGGCGCATCTCTGGAAGATAAAGAATTCAAAATGCTTGAAAAAGATTTTGTATGGCAAACAACGCTACCGGAATCGGTACAATAATATAGTTCTACAAGTAACGCAATTTTTTTAATGCTGTATATCAATGTATTCGTATACTAAATTATATGCCCCCTTATCTAAATTTTCTTTGAAACAATTTGCTGAAAATAAAATCGTATACCGTACGTATACAGAATTAGAACAAATTACTAAAACACAACAAGTAACATCAGGCTCATAAAAAAGGCAAGAACGATGTTAATGATTTAAACGAATTATTTATCAGTTTCAGAGCACGATATATACTGTACACGGTATACTGTATTTTGTGATCTGCAAGCAGTGTTAACAATTTTCTCTTCAAGTATCATTTTCGATATAAATAAAAGTGACATCATTCATTCCAGTGACTTCGCTTTTACTAAACATTTTACTACGTCGTTGCTGAACAATTCTATTGTGTACTCCAATTACATTACCGTCAGCTGGATGACCTTTCTGTTTTTACTATTAGTATTTACGTTAGGCATTGCGTCGAAATTGTTTTCTAAACAGTTCAGCGTAAGTGCGTTAAGGACAATTAAAATCGAATTATTCCCAGCAACCGTCAACAAGTGTGCAAGTGGCCAGGGACTGCTTCCGGTTGGTGTGGATTGTTTTCCCGATGATCGCTACGCGAGAGAGGTTAAACTGATCAGGATGCCAGCTTTTTCCACCAACACCAAACGCCAGTGTGAAACAATACGTAATGCAATTATTGGGGAAAATCACATCATGCGGCTGCATGATCGGTTAAGTAAATTAGCCAAATTATGTATACAACGAACCGGGAAATCTGTCAATCCCCAGGGATCCGGATGCTACGGCAGCTTGCTGGAACGATCGTTTAAATCATACGCTCCAGTTATCTATCTGCCTGCCATATATCTGGCTCTAGTGGCAGACTGGTACAACGTCTCACCATGCTGCGTAAGGGAACGAACGTGCAATTATTATTTCAGTAACTGGTTACGATTTTATAAATTAAAATAACAACCTAAGAAGGAGCGCGTTAATTGTTTGCATAATATTATTACAGTTTAATGTTCGACGTATACAAAATCGCATCCGAAATACACTGTACATACTCCATAGTCCAGGCCGTATCGCTACCAATTTATATTGCCCTGAAATACAGACCTACCCAGTAGGGCTAACAAAAAGAGGTAAAATTAAAACTAACAATGGACGGTAATAGTGACTGACTGTGAGTATTTATTAGTTTGTTAGTTATGGTTTACGCAATTTTTACTCAGGTAACATGTTACTGCTTACCGAAAGTAATAATAAAAAGTTTTGTTTAGTAGCTTCAGAAATACTGAATAAAAGTCACAACATTAATAAAAACTCTATTGAAATAAAAACCCCCTCCGGTACACTTAGAAAAAATTCTCGACCCATTCGTGAGATATGGTACGGTATGCCATATAACCATGAGACATTTTACCCTGTGATTTTCTAATTTGTGACGTTACAGACAGAACTTTTCTACAATTCAGTGTTAGCTGTCTTTCAAACCTTTTTGCATTATTTTCAATTTGAAGTTTTCGTTTTCAGGGAAAATCGTTCATGAGTTTTGATATCGGCGTTGGCGTTGCCTAATATTTAAGGCCGAGGACTTGCACTTTTGTATCCTCTATTAATATCATTATATTTCGTAGACCATGTACTAAAGAAGGTTAAACTAAGCGACGACAACTCTTTTTAAACATCCCTCACTTTAACAAAACGGCGTTTTCAATCTGAAAAATATCACCGGTCTTGTTTAGGGCTTTCGGGCAACGCCGGGTTGTGAAACTCGCGACCGAACGATTTTCTCGGACACGAACCGGGAACAAGTGAAAACATTGCTAAAGTATCAGAAATTCATCGTCAGTTAATGTAAATTACAGCTAATGTGCAGTTAATAATTGTAAGTTACATCGTACAAAAATGTAGTCTGTCAGATTACAAATTACAGAAAACTTTTTACATTTCTATATTGTATTACAGTATTTCATTATTGTAATAGAAAATATTGTATTACAATAAATAATTACTTCACGATGAAATCTTTTCTATTTATATTTCCACATTCGAAGCACGTGCTCCACAAAACCACGCTATACTCTATACAATACGGCAAACTCGAGGGTAAAAACCACTTTTCTGTCTGTACCGACGTCACTTGGGCGACAGGGCATGCAGGGATTAAGAAAGTTTCTTTCGGCAGCGTCGAAGATTTCTGCCAAAGAATCGGTAACATTCCAGATAAATTACATAAACTGTATAGATTTTTTAAAGATACAGCTTATATAATTATGAACTTTACAGTCTCGATATAATCTGTCAAGTGTGATAAATTAATGGCCTCATGTAAAGATGGTTATTGTACGTACAATAAGTACTCTGCATACAGTATTAAATCGTATGTTCGCCCTACAGTTAAAATTCTTCGGTTAAAATCAGCGCTGCGAGGCTGCTATCGTCATCGGGCTTTAAACCAAAAACCAACAAGTACCGTGCAAATATGGCACACATAAAGCTGGCAGAAACCAAGTACGACGTTTTATAGATAATTATAATTTATCTGTATGTACATCAATACATGTGTGCGCCGCATATAGAAATAAAATGGAGCAGTTGTAAAATAGCGCCAAAACCAAACCGGTTCGGACTCTCGACGCCGCGAGACATCCGCAGACCCAACAAACACTTTATGAAAAAAATTAAACAACAATTACACTCCTGGCGTTTACAAATGCTTAAACAAGCTGGGCATGCCTGACTGAGCAAAATCCACAGGGCCATACAGTAAATGTTAATCGGCGATGATTAAACGTATTATTATCCGCTCATAAAAAGCGACAAGCACCACTTCTTCTTTTCCGCCTCTCATTGTGCATATATAACCCCACACATTTCCACGGCCCGAGCCGCGTCCTCACCGGCAGACCGAGCATGCCGTCGCAGGTGCTGGACATTGTGGCCGCCATGGCGTACGCTAACCGCTCCCCGCAGGAGCGCATCCGACAGGAGCGCAACATGAGCCGTCGCATCTCCATCATTGCCGGCATCCCGGAGAAGCAGTTCCGTGTGGCGCTGCTCAACGGGTTCGGGCAGTTTTTTATTGTGGTCCTGGTGTTGGCCGGGTATCAGGTGTATATATTGCTGGAGTCTTTTCTGCGACCGCTAGCCTGGGCGGTTATCACCGGGATCGTCTTGTTTCCCTTTAAGACGGCCATGTCAGGATGGGCCAAATTGTGGGTGGATTATCTGAAGGCAAGGCTTTGTTAAAATTTAATAACACGTTGCAATATTGGGGTCTCTGTGGGCAGCATTCACAGCGGCTACCTAATTCAGCCGAGGCACTGCAATGGACAATAAGTAATGCAGACAGAATTTTTTATTCAGTTCGGTCTGTAATTGTAAAGCGGCATTGGTCGGTATTGAAAATTTTCCTTTTGGGGTTTTTTCTGGTTTTTGTCGATATTAATTTTTTCTTGGCCCAGACTCATGTGTCAAAAATATGAGAAGATGTTTGAAGAACAATATTGCAGGAATAATATTTTTGGATTAGCATTTCCCCGTTACATTGGTTTGGCACACCGTTATTTGGTTCTTTGGTGAAGCTGAATGTTAGGCCCTGAATGGAAAAGCAGTATTCTAATGGCGAACGTAGAGCAAGGCTGATACCTACGATGCTCCTAATCAATGGATTTATCATTTACGAACCTTGTAAATCACAGCTAGTTTGATGCAAGTAATAAGAAAATTATTTTTTCTTGTATAAAGAAAAGTGTGCAACGTAATAAGGGGACGGCGATACATATAATATTTCAGTTAAATGCTTTGTTGACGGATGGGCTATAGCTTATAACGCTCAGAAAAATGCTGCTCCTAATACTTCAGTACATGGCCAGCATACAGAACCACATATGGTTATATAGATATGATATAAGCTAGGTCGATCCCGGAAAGTTGAATTATAATTGCAAGACTCAAACTAATTGCTAAAAAATTAAGATGCATGCAGTAATCACAGCCGTGACTATAAACCGAAGACCTGCATTTTGTGTCACGTGCTGTTGTATATTTTAAAATTGTTATAGTATCAAAAACGATCTGTGCTGCTTAATTGAAATGTTGATTGACACGGGATATCTGCAGAGCTGATCTTGATTTTGCGAGGACCGGTTGGCGTTTGGCTTTCGCAGTAATAAATCTGCCGTGTAAAGCACTCCCAGCCGGCGAATACATAATTTTTGTTTGTTTTGCGGGAGTGATTAACAATGAATGACACCTATGTAAAGCAGCCTAAAGCTGCCGGATGCATAATTTTTGCTTGTTTTTGTAACGCTTGAAAACGATCCCAGTGGCAATAAAACCATTTAAAACTCGAATACACCGAAAATTCTGGTACAATCGGAATTTCTGGTACAAAACGTTAAATTTCTGCAGGAGACCAACACACCGCTGGCGGTGGGCATCGTTGGAACGCCGCTGAAGCTGGCGGATATGGGGTTGGACTATCTGGGCGATGTTGTCTTGGAAATATTCTACAAGCGGAAAACGGATATCGGCTGGGCTATAATCTTGTTTTCCGCGTCCACCGTCTTCCAGGTGGTGTTGTACGTGTCGGAAGTGGATGTTATTACCTCGCTGTATACGTTTTCCGGCTTTTTGGTTCGCGTAGCCGCATCAAACTGGGTATGTTTCGTTAGACAGCGGCATCCTTGTATAGAAGTACACTTACAGAGTACTGTACATATTTTATAACCGATTTATGCACTTCTTGTATTTCTTCTTCGGTTTCATGATTATTTCAGAATACTGATTAATTTTTATAGTTTAGGTTTTATAACTATAAATTACGAATTTAATGACTTTTATAATCGACCGAAGCGAATTGCGACGGTCCTCTATGCTCAAGAAAATAAGAATTTTGTCGGCAACGTCGGTCGCGTCAGTCATGTCGGTCACGCATTAACACTTTTAAATAAAATATGGAAGAACACACCAAAAATTATTAAATCAAAAAAATTTATTTTTAAATATAAAAATGGTATTTTTAAAGCAGTTTATTAAGCTTGATTTCCCGCTTCGATTCGGTCTTTTAGTGCAAGCCACAGCGGTGCACTTTCTAGCATATCACTTTTTAAAACTTATGTGCTCCAAGAAATACATACCTGCAGTATAATTATTTAGTCTTTATAAACATTGCCTGGCAGGTGTGGTCGGTGATCATCGCTTACGTGGTCATCCTGACATTCTTATGGGAAGACCGGTACAAAGAACGCATCTGCACCGTGGCGTTGCCGGTGCATTTAGCCATGGCTATCCACCTGGCCGCGCAGTTCGGCGCCATGTCCCTGCCGGTGCTGGTGTTTGGTTTTGCCATTCTGGGCATCGGCTTCATCGGGGAGCTGAAGAGCATCGTCAAGAGCATCCGGGGTGGTGCCCACCATGAGGATATTCAGATGCGGATCGATTCATGGGGCCGGTTTGCCGTGCTCAGCCCGTGGCATTTCGCCTGGTGGCCGGCACTGGTCAGGGCAAAGCGCCAGATCGCCACGGCACAGATTGACTTCACGGAGCCGCTGCAGACACCGGAGGAGGAGGAGGACGAGAATCGATCCCGAAAAGGGGACGTAAGTCACAAGAACACATCCTCTGGGCATCACTTTATTTTATATTGCAAATATTGTTAAATTTTTGCAAAATAAGTTCAGAAGAATTAAATAGTTGCACGAAGTGAATCAATAGTTTCACAAAGTGTAATAATTGCACAAAGTGTTTAGAAAATGTAGAATAATGGCATGAAGATTTTGGAGTTCCAGTAGAAGTAATTACTGCTGGTAAAAGGAATTATTGCCATTTACAGCGCATTCTCGATGCTGATGACAATTAAATTATCGACAGCTTTCCTCATTTCTTATTAGAAGGGAAATAAAGGAATATGGATAGAAAACATTTACTTTTAACAAGAAAAATGTGGACAGTTTTAATTGATGTCCCCTGTAACCGAAATTTAAAAATTACACTTTTGGAAGTATCTTGTTAATCGCCATGACTGCTTTTTGGTTAGCTGTTGCTAATTTTTCAATTTGCCAGTCGTTGCGCCGCTGTTCTACGTTTAGTTACGTAATTAGACAGTAATGATTGCGTGTATATCTGTAACTGCTTAACAGGAAGAGTCGGAAGCCAACCGGTACATTGTAACACTGCTGAAGATGTTCTTTCTGGTGCAACTATGGAAGAATGTCTCGATGGTACCCCTCCTGATCTTCCCGACAGTGTACTCTTATCTCAAGTATAAAATTCCCCGCAGCCGGGCATTCAACCAAATAGTATTCCACGTCAAGAACGGTATCAGCTGGGTGAAAGCGCAATTGGGCGACCGGAAGAACGCCATTATTCCCACACCCATTGTCGGTGTGTGCAAGATGGCACTGCATGGTGACCGGAAGATTCTGCATATTCTGTCGAATTCCATCGACGAAGCGGCGTCCAATTTGATTATTGTACTGATGTTTGTGTCGTTGCTGGTTGGTGGATTGATCGTGGTCTTCCAAGTGCAAAAAGAAACGTCATATCTGGTTCGGATGTCAGGTATCAATTAAAATTCGATTCTGAATTTTATTCAATTTAAATCAATCAAATTTTAATTTAAATCTGATAATCTAATTTATTTTAAATTTAATCTAATTAATCTTCTAATTTAATTTAAATCTCTTAATTCTAAAATCTAATAATCACAACGTTTAGGACTCTATGTAATTAATAATTATACTTAAACATACTAATTATTTTTCGAGGTGTTCACATTCCACAAAAATTTATTTATATTTGATAATATACATTATTCCTTCTATCGTTACGGAAATAATATTCCTACGTAGCACGTACGAATATTCAGATTCGCAAAGTTTAATACTGTATTATTGCAAAATAGTGAAAATGCGTTACAAAATACGTAAACATTGCAAAATACGTAAATTAATAGTACATACAATGGCATACGTAGTAATTACGACTGCCGACAACGCCGTAGTGAAGGGGCGCACATAGTCCGATCGTTCCGCCATTAGTGTGCATGGAAATGGATCTTCTCACAGCATTAATAAGTAAAATCCGAATTAATTTTATTTTAGGAGTTTCTACTTTTTTATTACAGATCCCCAGTGCGTTAAAAATACATTTGTGTACCCCAGAACAATTTCAGGGACACATCAATACTGAACTAATAATTAATTCTTTCTGCATAGGGGATTTTATGAATACCACTATAACCGAGCACCCCGAATTACTGGCCTGGTTACCCGGAGGTTCGCAAGTGCAGAATCAGCTTCAAAACAGCGTAGATTCCTTATACATTTACAGCCGGGAATTCGTTGGTAAACAGGTACACATACAATGAACAGAATGTATATTTCGTGCAGTGTACTTCTACATCGTAAATCAAGCGGAATCTGTTGTCGGCCACATCAACAACCCTAAAGACGCCTTGCCTACAGCTTTCCTGTTCAGATTTTATTTATGAGCTCCCTCGCGGCATTGTACTCGTATAAAAGCTGCTGGTACTAGGATTTTCTCATTAAAAAATTGGAAGAAATAAGTAATAAGCGGTGTGTGCATGGAACGTAGTTTGGGTACAACGTTTTATTACCGTGGCCACTCTAAAATGGGCATCCTAAATCCTTCTAAATGCTTATATTTTAAAGTGGCCAAGAAAAAGAATCGTTGTAGAACTTTTTATTCTATTATTATTTCTGTATACCGGTCTCGTTACCTAACTTTCCGTCATCTTCGCGCCGTTAAACTGCCGCTGGTATACGAGTGACTGTACTCGTACGTCATTAATATGCATTTATGACTTTTAGATCAAGAATGCCGTAAGCGGTGATAATGTGAATACCACAGAAAGCGATGTTATTGTTACGGAAATTATGTCGGTAATGGATAAAATCTACTATGCCTACGCAGCGTCCAATGTGTCTGCCGGTAATATTAGCGCCGTTACCAGTGACGTTATCAAAGGAGTTCGCGAAACCAAATCATCGGTTTTCAGTTGGTCATTTATACAGGATTACGTGATGAATCATTTTGACACACTGTATTCGGTACGTGATTCAAACCACGCGGTGTTTTAAATTTTTCCATTTCAGTTTTTTTATAAGTACATAAAGCATATAATGGCGTCGCTGATACATATCTACTGATCAAAGGAATAATATCTTATGGATGCTTTTGAAGTGATCCGTAAACGCTTTAGCAGTTGCTAAATCCTATATTCATCGAAAAAACTAACTTACATACGCACGCGCTACGTACCGCTCAAATGCAGTTTACAAGTTATATTTTAAAATGTATATTGAAATACTAGCTTCGTAAAATATTAAAAATTACTGTCAGCTTTTAATTTCACATAGCCTGAAGGAAGTTGCCGCTTTCGTTTGATCAATTCCAATTTGAAATTAAGCAACTACGTTCCTATTTTTTTGTGGTCTCCACTCCACTACAAATACGCTGCCACACACTATATTAATTTCTTTTTAAGCAGGATGTTCTGTTTTCAGGTGCTGAATTCAGTGACTGTGATTGTAACCGAAAATGCCGCATTAATTGCGTCGATGACCACATCCATATTCTCCTTTATCCTAACCTATTTCTCTCAGTTTTTGGATTTCATACTGAATGGGGTAAGCAAAACAATTTTATTTATTAACTTTTTTGATACCTTTTCCAAACATGCGAATCGTGTAAGAAAGTTTTCAGAAGCGTTTTTACTGACAAGAATGAGCTGACCAATTTATTTATGTGGGATAGTTTCTTGAAAGTCCTTACATTTTCAGATATTTTTCCTCGCATCTTTGTCGTTCCTGTTAAGTTTAAGTGGTGACCAGTATTATCCCCTGGAAAAAATATCACGCATTGCGGAATATTTCCCGGAAGCAGGCAACGTGTCATTGGTTATTGAATCTACGATCAACGGCATATTTAATGCTTCTTTCAAATTGGCGCTGTTTTATGGATTATACACATATACCCTTTTATCCCTTTTCGAAATTTATGTACGATTCATCCCGGCATCTATCGCAAGTATTTTTGCCGTTATTCCGCTTTTTCCACCTTACATCGTCTGTGTACCGGCCATGATCGAAATCCTTTTTGTTAGAAAAGACTATTTTCTAACAGTTTTATTAGCGGTTGGAGCCTATATACCGACTACGTTTGTGGACGAAGTGATGTACAAAGAAGTTAAAACGTAAGGAAGTTTTTCTATTTATACAATCATTTGTATACTACATATTTCCTCTGTCAGTGCATGCTTAGGTGATTCAAATTATTTCGTTGATAAAAATTATATTTTCAAAATATTTACGGTAGGTTACGTACTTGTGTGCTAATTCCGTACTAAATATTCGAATAACCAAATAATTTCACCTATTTGACTGATTGAATTAATGCAGTTTTTGACTGATTTTTTTAGAGCTCATCCTTATTTATTCGGCCTCAGTGTGGCCGGTGGATTGATGACAATGGGAATCGAAGGTGTCATAGTGGGACCCATTGTTTTATGTGCTTTTGTTACGTCGATAGAATTATCACGAATGATCCTCAAACCGCCCAGTGCTGATGACGATGTAGAAACACGAAGTGCCATATCTAATTCCTAAAATTAAATTTTATTGTTTTGTTACGGGTTAGCAATCGGACTGTACAATATTATAACTGTTTATAATTCTGTACGTTTGTGCCTTTGTGGTCTCTAACAGGGTTTTGTAATTTACGGCGTGATAGCACGTTTCCGAAAGTAAATATATGCAAAGACATACAGATACATACCTGTGCTCAGGAGCACTTAAAGTTAAAGTTTAATGTACTCAGGATTGGGCACACAAATGTTTGTAAATACAATAATTATTTAAGCGGTTATATGGAGATTAAGAAAGGAAACAACCAAAACACCGGTTGGTAAAGTAGCGGGTCATAAGACATTTTTCATAAATTATCGAAGTGCCGCGCTTAAGTAATTAAATGCGTATGTCTGCGCTTGTCAGCATGAAAATTTTCTGCGCCCTTGAAAACTCAATCATAATCACTCGAAACCGGCATGCGTTCAGACGGTAGGAAGTTAGGACTAGCTGTTCAGTATCTCAGCCGTACCCGGTATGTACCCGTTTTTGTGGGTAAGTAATTGTAAATGCTAACTTCTAACCATAAGTATGTGATACGGTTACAACCCACAGGCACTGATTTTAATGTGATTTGTATGCGTTGAGCATCCTGTCTGTGTTGGTATAATTTAGAACAATGAAAACTAAACTTTTATCACCATCGTGCAGTGATATCAGCTGCCTGCGCCTCAGTTCATTGGCATCATTGCGTTGAAAAGTGAAACCAAAAATCGCAGTTTTTGTTTGCGTAGTATTTTTTACGGAAATGTCACAAGTGCCGGCTCAAGTCCCCACCGTGTGGCGATTGCATAATTATACAGTGCGTCATTCGCCGATAACAAGCAGAAGAATGCAGCTTTTTCAATGCCACACCGCACAAATGACGGGAACGTGTGCTACGTATACATTGTCACTTGTCACTGTTGTGGTGTCAGTATTTAAACTTCTTTTTTACAAAACCGTAGCCGTATTTTGATCTTTTTCATTCGGGTTTCGAATATCTGTTGGCGTTAGGGAAGCGCCTTCAGATTGACTATTCCTTTCCAAGTATCTCATTTCCAGGTTGGTGGTAAACGTATTTACCCAAATTTTTAAAAAGTTAAAACGGTAGCTCCCAATTCGTTCGTACAGAATGCATAGAATGAAGTCATGCTATGCATTCTGTACTATGCATTCTGGTCGCCAGTCAATGACGCATTTTCTTGCTTATTGATTTGACGACCCAGGCAGCACCAGCGACTTATGAACATGCACGTTTTTCGCTTTTCCAGTTACTGCTATGTTTTTTTAACTTAATCATTACTTACAAAATTGAGGAGTATGTCCGCTCCTATGATTTGCTGGTACAATAATTATGTTTAAGAATTTGGAAGCGTCACCGTCAACTTCGAGAATTGGCACTTGTTGCAACGGATTGTGTGAAGCAACTAACGTTACGAAACCATAATTTTTAGGTCCCCAATAAGATGCATCCCGCGAGAATCTGGAGCGCCATCGTTATGATGGCCATGCTGTTGGCAGGGCCACCACCAATCGAAGCTGGACCAGCAGCGTACGGGATCTGCCAGGCCGGATGCGCTGCTGTCGTGGTAGCGTGCTACGCAGCGGGAGGTGCCGTTTTCGGCACCGTGACGGCCGGTGTCGGCATCCCGGCCGCCATTGTGGCCTGTAACAGCGCGTTCGGGACGTGTCAGGCAGCGTGCTGGGCAGCGCTTTTCATTCCTATCCCGTAGTGGCGTAGTCGGCTTAATCCCCAGTTGTCAAGTGACATGGTAAGACGTTGTACTTGGCTGACTGTTGCTCTTGACAACTGGGAAATTAACGTTGACCCAGTAGCTGAAGAGCGATATTTTTGGTATTTAGTCCCTGATTTTGTACGAGCAGTGGTTTTCTGGTGCATTGGTACTTGCTTAGCGGAAGCATAGGGGTCAATTTAACTTACGATTCAAGCAAGCATGTTAATTTTTGTTTGCAGCTTTTGTTGCAGGTATTAATCTTCCAAGAATTTCGCCTACAGTTCCAGCATAAGCGAGTAAACTACAATTTTGGAGTTTATTTTCGTCGATATTGATTTTTGTATTCCGTTGTCGCTCGCTTGGTCCTAATACGAATTACGAATGCCAGTTTATTGAAATGACATAAAATGAGCGGTGTCCAGAAATCGGTTTCCTTGGGTCAAGCAGTGACAAAATAAAATCAAATAATATGACAGAGCATATGTGGTAAAGATTTACAGCATTTTACTCACAGTAATTTTGGAGCAACTTGTGATCGCAATGCGGTATTGAACGACTTTAAATAAGGAAAAAAAGGGGGAAAAGAGTAGTAGTATGTTGCATTTAGTTTAGCCATTTACTACTTTGAGCGCCAATGGCTACTTCTGATTCACAGAATCTGGTGGCCCCAGCGACCTTGCTTAGGATCCATTTCCACTACCAAACTGTAGCTTCGCTCGTCCTCTTCCTGTCTCGGTTTCAAAACGAAACTCTGGCCTTTCTTGATCAGAAATGAGCTATTCATTTGCAGAAAATATTCATCACCATTGGCTGATAAATCGTACTGCAGGTTCGCACTTCCTCGTATCTGAATAAATAAAAGCGCCAAATGAAACTTTTATTTGAAAACTTTTAAGAATAACATTCTCCATTGGTCACTTAACAAAAGGTTACCCTACCTGCCAAATCCACCGTTCCGCGTTCTGATTGGCTGCGAAGTCAGTGGCGTCTGTTCCGCCGACAACGACTACCTTTGACTGATAATCATGGTCAAAAATACTGACAACGCGCTGTTTCTCAATTCTCTCCGCATTCTCTTCCAGCCACTGGTTCAGAACGAACGGATCGCCAAGTCGCCTTTCCGAATCCGGAATGTAAGGCGGCGGAGTGAAGTGTTCGGAGCTGGTCGGTTTGCCGGTGCGGTGTTCTGGTGAAGCAAAATACTCTTTGATCAGCTCGGCAATCTGCGTTCCGAGATTGGTACACTGGATCCAGCGTTCCCATAATGGAAGGACGGAGTTGTCCATAAAATAGCGAAGACAGTCTTTTTCAACCGGAAGACGTTGACGCTCGATCACCAATCCCACTGTGTCGGGGAAACGCTGTGGACTGTGTGGAATGCGGCTAGGAAGGAGGAAGATTTCGCCTTCTTTGATAACTATGTCGCGCATTGTGCCTCGTTCCAGGACTCGCAAAGTCATATCGCCTTTCACCATGTAAAACAGTTCCTCACCTGCATGAAGAGTGAAGATTGCGTTTCTGCCTTTCTTTGCTAGTTACCATTAAAGCAAAGGCCAAAGCTACCACATTATCATTATTGACCAAAGTTAAACTTTATCGACAATTAATGGTAAAACAATACTGTACAAAGCACATCAAATTACGTCTACATAACTGCTCGCTGTGAACCGATTGGAATTACGAGGTATTTTAAAATGTGCAGAATTGCCTCATAATATTGTCAGTAAAATACGAGTAGTTCCAGTACCTTCTTCCATGTGAAAATCCTTGCGCTGATTTGGTCCGCCAACGTACATCACGAATAACTGGCCATCAGGACCGTGCATTAGTTTGTTACAAACCGGTGGATGAAATTGGTCCTTACTTTTCTCTAACCATACGCCAATATCGTTGTAAGAGCCTTGTTCCGAATCCGTCATTGCCGTGTTTCTGTGCGAGACCTTGAACCTTATGGAACACTGCAGCTTTTCACAAACCAGCACAAACGAGACGGTATAGATATGAAGTAAAATTTATATGGGAAACAAAATAACTTAAATCACGCACAAAAATTGTGCTGGGATGCACAGTAATAGCACTGAGAGATCTTTAAAGTATCGCACTGACCATCGCGATGAAATGTAGCGATTAAAGATCAACGATTATTGTCAGTTTGAGAAATTGTACTCTGTATTACACATGGAAAACCTTATGATTGTAGCCTGTAACGGCAAATACAGTAAGTACTTTACAAGTAGAGCCGTTCTATAGACACTTGAATCATTCTTCTATTATGTAATATACGTAACGTATACCGCACATCGGTATTTATCGTCAACTGCGGTGCAATTACTGCACCGCGCAACATTCGTAGAATCACAATACTCGTACATTCCGGACTGTATGCTTTAATACAGATTGCAATAACACGGTAACAAGCAAACATCAGCGCCAGTATTACCGGTAGCAAATAAGTCTTTGTACTTGTACTCGTAATCGACTTGGAAGTTCTACTATAGCTTGTAGAATGTAAGCGTGTTGCCGTGTAGCGTAACTGTACTGCAGTAAGTTTTAATAATAAATACCTGCTGTGGCTTGGTTCCTGTTCGTACCCGGTACCGGTGCAATAACAACAACAGAATTAATTCCCAGTACCGGTGCAACAGCAGAATTAGCAGTGTAAACTGTACCGTTTAAAATTAAAAGTGCCGAAAGGCGAAGGACAAGAAATGTGCAAAAACAAGGATGTTTACACTTTTCAGGTTTCCAAACCTCCTGGGCACCAACCGTGCCTACAGAGCATGCATTTGCATGCATGCAAAGCTTTCCACACGCATCCAAGCACGATCTATCTGTAAGCATAACCGTAATTTTTACATCCTTCGGGTGTAAAAATTAATGTTAACAACCATAACATCCTTTGGCCCTTTGCTCTGCGTGCCCGTTTGCTATTAAAATTTTGTTAGAAGCAAAAGCTCCTACGACACTTCTCCACTGGAGCGTGAAATCTAACCTTACGTATAGGAAAATGGGAAGTCTCCAGAACGTAGTGGACTCAGTCTTGTCAACCCGACTCAACTGTGAAATTCTGGATACCAGCAACGTCATACAAATCGTTGCAACACAAGGCTCTTGTCTATCCTACACTGACCACCTAAAATTCTGACAGAATCAGATCAAAACGCATCATCGGAAATATGTTAAGCAATAATAAACGAGAAAATAAACAGGGAAAGCGCCAAAATACTGGCCGGTTGTTTCGTAAATCAATGAAGGACAGCACATAAAAATCAAGAATGCAAGAAGGACCGAGCCTTTCTTACCGGTACCTTTGGGTTTGCGCTCTGCCTTGTCATAAAAAATTTTGCGGCATAAGAAGGCTGAATTTCGAAGCGAAATCCAACGGATGCTAACGTACCCAGGTACCCCGTAATGCTAACGTCCCTTGTTAGACAGTCGCCAATCAACAGCCAAAACTGCTTGCACGCCGTTCTCATTGCCTCGTAATTAACGATAAGTACTTATGACTTGTGTATTAATCAACTTTGCGTTTCAATATCTTCATGACAGCGTTTCGAGTAGTCCCCAGATTTACGGATATGAGAATCCCATCAACGTCACTCTCATCTCCAACGTCAAGTGTTTCATACAAAATCGCCAACTCGGCAAGAAACAAGACAGAATCCACGCAGCATTCGTATCGTGGGATCGCTCAAGTTCAGTGCAAACGTGATGTCTGTGCCGCTAAAACGGGATTCGATTCCACTTGATATCATCCCGTTTTTGAAGTCACGAACCGTGGAAATACAATATAGTGTCGTATGGAGCTGCAGCCAATGTTGCATTAGTTTCTTACTGTGATGGAGGGCATCAGGAATACCAGGAAGCGCAGTAGTATCGTGTGTCGATGTTTACCATTCGTGCATTTTTTTTCACTAGTGAAGCTATCTATGGTTGATGAAACCAAGTGCAAGGAAAAGTGAAAACCATTCTTTCAACCCGAGGCTTCGACGCTGGATTACGAGTTTGCGCTAATTCTTGTAAAACGGCGATCAAAAATGAATAACTCAGTTCGTGATTCCTTTAACCTCTTTCGAAATTCGAGCCCATTTAACAATACTAACGCTCCTGAACCAATCCCGTATACATTCGTAACCGTGGTGGCCGTAATAGGTTTGTGCACTATTGCATACAATCTGGTATTTATTTCTGTTTTCATCCGGTTTGCCGCGGTCCGCAATCCGTTCACGTACTTATTGCTGAATGTATCCATTTGCGATCTCGGGTTGGCTGTTTTCAGTATGTCCGGTTTTGTATGGTTTACTTTGTTACCGCAGTCTGATCCAGCATATTGCCCTTATTTTGCCGTCATTGACAAATATTTCTTTGTTGGCACGGGTTATACGGTGATGCTAATCAGTATCGACCGGCTGTTGTCTCTGTTTACTCCCGTTTACTATCGGAATGTGCGATCGGTGCGCTTGTCACTGATACTGTGTGTGTCAATGTGGCTATTCCTGTTGGCGCTCCTCACACCATATGTTTTCATGGACGCGCTGTGGTATAACACGATGACCTTGCCTTGTTCTGTAAACTTTTCTGCTCAGTCAGCCTATTCAAAGGTCATTGAAGTGATTGGCTTCGATTTGCCACCGATTTTCATCATATGTAGTTATCTGATCATATTCCGCAAAATCTCACACCGGTCGTTAAAAAAACGTGTCCCTGTGGCAAGGAATACATCACCAACAAATTGTAAGTTGTCCGCAGTAAACAGGTACAGCACTTTGATATTCGAAGCCGCTTTCGAATAACACGATTACCACAGAATCTCGTTTTTGGGGAAAAAACAAAGCAGTATTTTGTTCGCAACTAGTGGCTTTTGCTTTATTGAATTACGCGCAGTAACACTTTCAGCTCTAAAGTACCAATCCTGTGGTAAGCGATTTCTTAAGCTTGGGAAAAAAATAACTTTAAAACCTATTTCCCGACTGTACTTTTGCAGCTCACTCTGGTGAACAACACCAAAACGTGCCTGCGCATCGAAATATACAGCATCTGGTGCCTCTTAAACCCGCCTGCAGCTCACGGGATGATGACTTCAAAATGTACCAGCTGTTTGGACTACTGGCTCTATGTGTTTTTCTAAGCTACATTCCACCAATGATTTACTACTTGGTCCTGGAGTTCACGAATTACTCGAACGGTACCCTCTACGCTGTTGTAGTGTGCTTGCAGTACCTAAGCTGTGTTTTCAATCCCCTTATATATCATTCGACGTTGCCTGCTGTGCAGAAAGCAATTCGGAAACTCTTGTGGTGTTGTTGAAAACTTGAAACAATAAAATTTTACTGATCTTTGATACTCGTACATATTTGCGTAGGTACCTCGCACTTCTGTCGGTTTGTATTCGTAATTCAATTATGACAATAAATTATGCAGCTAATTTGTTTTTACATTCTGTGCTCGACCCAGACAAATCGTGAAAACAAGTATCCGAATTTAGTAGAACTTATTCTTATGACTGTTGTTATTCTTAATTTTATCTTGATAAGTTACTTAATGTTAATTCTGTCTACACAACATCAATCTCGAAAACTTTATGACTTGATAAGCGAGTGCTGTAAACAACCATAACATAATGAAGCTAGTATCGAAATGATAATGATTCTTCACTGCCAACCTCTTCACTGCCACTAAACATGCCAAGATAATAGGTACTTCAGTACAGAAATAACAGCAATACTCGTATAATAAGTATGCATAACGGCCGAATTGCTTACAGGATATATATAACACAGCATTCACAAAAATTGACTCTTACTGTACTTCAGAATATTATGTGTTAAACATATCCAATCCAGGCAAAACACAGCTACAGGCAGTTTGGTGACATGTCTATCAGCAAAACTGAAAATTATATCAAAGTATTATTGACGGTCTGTTTGTCGTTTTATGACAAAGCCACAACCGCTGCCAGATTAAGTGCGAAATGCGAATCGTGCTTCGTTATCACAGGTTAATGTTTAGTTTTAATTATTGTGCCATGGCTAACAAATTTAAAACACAAAATTTTTGATACTAAACAGTTTGCATGTGCTCGATAAATTGCTACAAAATTCCAATACAGGAATAAATAGCATGACAGTAGACCAAATCAGTGGTTTAAACAAAATTATCAAAGTATTATGACGCACTTGCTCATTTTAATCACCGCGAACATTTGGAACTGCAGACGGATCACTCTGATAACGATATACCTATAACAAAGAAAAACGATTGACCTTGAGAATTGTAGGCCAAATAACTGATGAACTTATGGTAAGCATTGACGATTAAAGCACAAAAGTAAAACCGAAATTATCGCCTCCACGCTCTTTGACAACTTGGGTCGATGCTTCGTCCACCCCAGTTGTCAAGGGCAATGGTCAGCAAGGTACAACGTCTTACCATAGCACTTGACAACTGGGATTTACCAGACTACGGTGTAGGAGCGAGCAGAGCTGCCCAGCACGCTGCCTGACACGTCCCGAACGCGCTGTTACAAGCCACAATGGCGGCCGGGATACCGACACCGGCCGTCACTGTGCCGAACACGGCGCCTCCCGCTGCGTAGCACGCTACCGCGACAGCAGCGCATCCGGCCTGGCAGATCCCGTACGCTGCCGGTCCAGCCTCTGTTGGTGGTGAAACCGTCAGCAACATGGCCATTATAACTACGGCGATCCATATTCTTGATGACGACATCCTATCCACTGCCTGAACATATGTAGTGGTTTCGTTATAAGATTAACACAAAGAAAAATCGTACCCTGACAGAGTTTATTGTAACTTGTATTCTGAATATTTTGCTCAAAATCAAAGAACTGAACCATAGTAGTCCCAATGACATATGAGGTTTAGCCAGTCCGCGAAATAGCAATAACTAGCGCACAAAAAATTAGTACATTTTAGTTGAAATCTGACTAAACCTCTAATTATTTTGGTACAGTAAAACCTGTGTAATCTGAACACCTACTTCGGTTCCTTAAAAAGTGTTCAATGTAAGCAACTTTTCAATATTCGCAGTAACATTTGCAGTTAACGAGGTGCGGCGGTTCCTTACTGGGCGTTCAATATACGAGGGTGTTCACTTTTCACAGTTGTTCAATCTCACAGAGTTTACTGTAGTTTTGTTCTTAACATTTCCAGTGTAGTGGAGGGCGCTGCGACTGGCTGATTATGTACTTTTTTTAAAATAAACGTAAACACCATGGGAGTTTAGTGGACTAGCAATAAATAATATGCCTGTAAAAATATAAAGTTAGAATTTGTCCGAATGTAGGGCCGACCAGTTGCA